ACTTGAGTCTTCTCAGCTCAGCTCGGGGGTCACGGCGAGGCGATGCTTGGGTTGAGAAAATGATGTTTCTGCCCTCATAAAAGAGCTGCGGAGAAGAAAAGAGAAAGAAGCTCACCCCCCCCCCCATCCCTCCCTCCATCTCTTCTTCCTCCTCCTCTTCCCCCCTCGGTGTCACCTCTGGCCCCCTCCAACCAAACCCCCCTCCCTTCCCTTCAACGCCATGTTTCAAAGTGTGGCCACATGAATGCCTCTATTGTTAATGGCTGAGAAAAAGGGAAGGAGAGAGAGGGAGAGTGGACAGCGAAAGAGGTGAGGGAGGGAGGGTCGGAGGAGGAGGAGGGGAAAAAAAAAAAACAGACACTCAGAGACAGAGAGATAGTCTCTCAGAGCGACATGTGGCCAAAAAAGAAAAGAGTAGAGGGAAACCGTAATGTTGCTGAGGGCTGTGTCTGAATGGGATGATTTATTTAGATGTGGTCACAGTTGAACTCTATAAACTTGTTTAAAAGTTCACCTCACTTCACTTTCCCCTCTTCCACTCTCTCTCCTCTCGTCTACACTGCTCCACTGCAAGAGTCACAAGCTCTCCTGCACTTTCTGACCACACTTAAAAAAAATTTAAAAAAGAAAAGAAAACAGAGTGTGAGTGATTGTGTATCGCCGTTAGTGCGTGTTTGAATGCAGTCCAGGTTTGTTGACTCTGAGGGTGTCACCCAGAGGAGAGGGAAACTGCATTCTCAGATAAATATACACTATTTTTCTTGCTCTACCACACGATTAGATTGGGAAATGGTCTCCCTACCCTGTCCTGTTTACACACACACACACACACACACACACACACACACACACACACACATGCACACACACACCATCATCCACTCACACACACTAGGTTAACCTGGGTCAACTCCGCACATCTGACACCCCTAAACATGGAGTCTATCAGAAAATGGAGTTCTGTCACAGGAATGTGCTGCATTCACTGTCAGTTTTCTATCTTTCCCTCTTCCTTTCTTTCTTTCTCCATTTCTTTTTTTTTTTTTTTGTCTTTGCGTCGTCCTCCTCTTCCACCTCATATTTTAAGGTTTTCTCTGTCTGTGGAGTGTTTTCCCTTTGTCTTCATGTTTCCTTTCTGCTTGTTCACCACATTTCTTTGTTGTTGCTACATACCTTGCCTGACATGTTCAATATTTTTTTCCACTCTCCTCCCTCTCTCTCACTTCACTGATTTCTGCCTCTCTCTTTCTTTCTTTTTTCTAAGCACTGCACCTGCCCAGTGGCATTTTACTTCAACACTCATACCATCCTCTGTGTGTGTGTGTGTGTGTGTGTGTGTGTGTGTGTGTGTGTGTGTGTGTTTGTTCATTCTGCAATGCAGCTTGACTGTGACTCAGGGTACCATCAGATACCACTCACAGAATGCGTCATGCAGGAAGCAAAAGGTGCTTGTTTTTATAAGTGTGTGTGTGTGTGTGTGTGTGTGTGTGTGTGTGTGTCAGTCAGTCAGTGGGTTTCAGTTTAGGGAAAAACTAAACCTGTGTGTTTGGATGTGGGTGGATGTGTTTGGGCAAACCTTTTGTGTTTAGCAGGAGGGCATTTGTATGGGTGTGTGTGTGTGTGTGTGTGTGTGTGTGTGTGTGTGTGTGTGTGTGTGTGTGTGTGTGTGTGGAATAGATTTTTCTGTTTAGGCTTTGCTGCTGAAGCCTCAGGAACCACCACCATGTTTACAGTTCATACTCTATAAATGGTGTTAGTGCATGTGCTCGCCTGTGTGAGAGGGACAGGAAGGTGAAATGTGTGTGGGTGTGTGCATGTGTAGGTGTTGAGTGAAGCTGAGTGCCTACTTCTCCGGTCTAAGCGTGGCTTGATAACCCCGAGTGACCTGGGTAATGAGAAGTGGAACAGTGGCTTCCTCGCAGGCCTCTGGGCCTGACCGAGCTGAAGCTCCTCCACCATTCAGTCTGCATTCTCAAGTTCCCCTCGGTGTGCGCCGCCAGCCAAACATACCAACGGATAAAGCCCACATCTCAATTTACCGCAGGTGTAAGGCTGTTAGCTGGCAGTGCTAGAGGCGTGGAGGCAAAGGATGTGGTCAGAAAGATGCAGATGCAACAAAGAAGACTCACAAAATCCCTCTTGACGCTTGGATAATTTGTGGTGTACTGTGTCACCACAGTTTTGTCTTTTATCACACAGTGTTTTCTAGAATTGGTTTAGTACTAAATAACTGCTAAACTTGTTAGCATGCTGATGTTACCATTAAGTACTACTATGCTTAAGAGCTGCTAGCATGGCTGTAGACGTATAGTGTTGTTGAGTTTTATTTAGGTCAGCAGCTCTAAAACTGTGGAGCAAGTTCCCCGCAGGGAGGTGGAGCCATTGAAGGCCACAGACACACAGACACACACACACACACACACACACACACACACACACACACACACACACACACACACACACACACACACACACAGGCACGCATGACCAGGAGGAAAAAAATATAGAGTCAGCTGGCAAGTGAATCTGATTCATGTGGGAACAAGAACACTGATGATCTGATTTTAACCAGAATATCAAGATACAGGTTAGCAGGGTTTAGTTGGTCTGTGCTCTCATGTTTACTGTCAGTGTTATCTCTCTCTCAAATTAAATCGAAGGCAACTGGACTCTTATCCAAGCGGCTTCATCAGTTCTTATGTATTGGTCTCTCTAGTCCGCACTAGTCTGATTTAAATGGAAAGCCTGTGTCTGCCTGTGAAGGTCTAGCAAAAAATGCCATAAGGTTGCATTATGGGAAATGTAGTATCCAGTGTTTTTGGAACTCAGAGTCAGACTATCTTGGTGTCTGTTGCTTCAAGTTTTGCTTTTTTTTTTTTTAATCTGTCTCTTGCAAATTCACAACTTTGTAGAAATGCAATTTTCTGGAGAACCACTTTAATGTGCACAAGTATAACTAATGAAAAACATGCTTGCCTCCTTTTGTTGCCACCTAATATTCTAAATAAATAAATAAATAATTCGCACAGTTTTCCAAAGAAAGGAAGAAAATAATCAGTGATTTAGTCTATTTGTGGCTGATCGGTAAATAGAATCGTTAACTGGACAAATGAAGGTGTCAGTCGTTGCTGATGTGACATTAATAGGATTTGTTTAGTCTTTTTTAAACAGTACAATTAAGCAGCAAAATCAGTCTATTGGTGCTTTGTGATCCTGTATTGTTTATTTTTTAATGGTCAGACAGTTGTCTGACGGCAGAACAGAGAGAATAATTAAGCAGCTTTGAGCTCTGTGACTCCCAGGTGTTCATGTGGATTTGTTGCAAACAGAAACAGTGTCTGAGTCAGAGGTAACAGAAAATGGGCTCCTTAACATTACAGGCATTCACTCCCCCTCCACCCACCCCACCCCCCACCCCCACATCCACATCAAAGTGTCACTTAACATTCTGCGAGAATCCTTTTTATCTGTTACTGCTATAAACACTTTCTTTCTTTCTATCAGTGGTGACATTTATTTTAACCGAAGATAAAATCGCTGCGGATGTGCATGGACTGCTTTCTGTTTTCCCACTGTTAGCCAAGCATGCTAGCATGGAGTCAAAGTTAAAGTCATCATCAGCCTCGGGAGCTAAGTTGATAACTCCTAGTATTTGGCCTTATCAGCGAGAGATGGCCCTGTGCTGTGAGGGGAATGACAGAGTCTGAGTCATTTGTGGAGTTTATGCCCCTCTGACTGCTGTGTTTCATGTTCTCTGCTCTGGAAAGACCTCTGGAAGCTGTGCCGCCACAGTGAGCCCACCAGCCCGACACACTGCAGCACTGCTCCTGTCGGCTTCTACCTGGGTTTTGTGCAGACATGCGGAATTAATTTCACTTTCCTTGTGAGATATTTTCTGTTTACTCCAGGAAAGCAATTTAACAAGATTAAGACCATATAACATCAAAGCTGTTCACTGAAACCCAGGATAATATATAATGACGACGATAATAAACCAGACGTTGGGTGAACTGGAGTAAACTGTTGAATTAGAATCGCTTCAGGCTGCAGGCGTCCTGTAGATGACAGGTGTCAAATCATCAGTGAGGCTATAAACAAGCAAACTGCACGTCCTTCATATCAGAAGACGATGACAGGCTGACATCAAGACAGCTAATTAGCAAACTAATTAACCGTACATACCTGAGATGTGGCATTGGCAGCCTGGTTCTGTTGATGTGTATTGATAGTTCTTCCTCTGTGGACAGGCCACAGTTCTCACTTCTAAATATAAGAGCTGAAAAAAACATGAAAATGAGTTCTGCAAGAAAATTTGTATTGGGAAGAATTTGGTCGCTTTTTTGTTGTTGACATTGACAATATTTCACCTTCGTTTCCCATGTATTCTTACATATGTGATTTTTTGTTTTCAATTCTGTATGGCATTTTTATTTATTTTGATTTTCATGGTAATATTACTGCTGCCTCTACACTTGTGAGTTGCCTTTTTCCTACATTTGCAGTATATGTTAGTCTCAAAATGTACAAGATTTTCACTCAGAAATATCTCTGAACACTGGCTCATTTTTGTGGGCTCATTCACAGGGAAAAAAAAAAACAGATGAATGTTTTTCATTTGGCCTTAGATAGGTGGTTGTTTTCCTCATGTGGCTCATCAACTGGTGGTTATACTTTCCTACTTTTTTTCCCCACCACTTCATGGGGTCAACAGGGGATTGTGTGAGCTTGTGTGGTAAAAATGTATTTGTGCAGTTGACTGCACAGCAGTTCCTCAGTAACGGCACCTGTTCCCCATGAAGGAGAGAAAATAATAATGAAGCAGTAGGAATAAGAAAGGCAAAGGACCCATCTGTTGCTCATTCAGCAGCAAGGACAGGTGGCTCTGAACTGGTTTGTTGCAGGAAGCAAAAGACTTTGATTAATGATTCTCTGTCTTTCTCCCTCCCCCGACTCTTTTGTTTCTTTCTGTTTCCTTGCTCCCGATTCTCTCCTGCCTCCAGGTTCAGGGATGATAAGGGCTACGTCCTGTACCCTCAGATCGGGGACCGGCTGGACCTCATCTGCCCTGCGCTGGACACCGCCAGGTCCACGCCAGAATACGAGTTCTACAAGCTCTACCTCGTGTCGTCGCGGGAGCAGGCGGACCGCTGCGAGGTGATGGGCGCCCCGAACATCGTGCTCACCTGCGACGAGCCCACCCGCGAGCGGCGCTTCACCATCAAGTTCCAGGAGTTCTCGCCCAACCTGTGGGGCCACGAGTTCAAGAGCATGCACGACTACTACATCATCGGTGAGTGGAGGAAGCAGAACAAGCACAGAAGTTTAGAGGGTGGAGAGAGAGAGAGAGAGAGAGAGATAGTGTGTGTGTTTATGGGCGTGTGTTGAGCTTTATTGCAGTGTGGGGGGGGTGATGAGGGGGTTGTTATGATTGCATGACTGATTTCTGATTGTGCCTGAGTGTGTTTGTTTATTTCAGTGATGATGGCGATGATTGGGCGGGTGTGTTCAGAGTAATTAGGTTTGAGGATTGTGTGTGTGATCGGGTCCATGGGTGGGTACAGTACAGGACACACACTGCAAAAAATGACCAGATGGGCACATTGTTTTCAGAACTTTTTTTTATTTTTATTTTTTATCAAGCTTGTCACTGCAGGTTATTTGATGAAGTTCACTTCTATGGTATTAAACACACCTTTCTCTTTTTTTTAAGCAAAAGAAAGAAATCACTTTCTGTTTGTTACATTTTTTCGCAGTGTTTTTGTTTCTTTGCCACTTGTGTTGGGATTTTGTGTCAAGTGAAATATGGTTACATGTGCGCTTCAGTTTCATTTCTTCAAGTGTGTGTGTGTGTGTGTTTGTTTGTGTGTCATTGCTGTGTCTTTGTCCTGCTCGGCAGCTGTGCCGCCCTCAGGCCTGTTTATTGTTACTGCCATCTTGCAGTGACCGCAAATAGCGAGGAACAGTTTGTTTTGGTTTATTCAGAAGGGTTGTTTGGAGTTAGGCTGTGTGAAGACCTGATGAGGTCATCAAGGCGAGCCAGGCCAAGCGTTTGTATCGGACAGAACAATCTGCAAGAAAAGGTCGCGTCAACCGAAACCTGTGGGTTGTTTTTAAATTCAGACCAAGAGCCAAGAGCATTCAGCACACACAGGACACACAGGACACACATACTCACATACATGTATACACACACTCTCACACGCACACAAGTTTCCAATACAAACACAAGCACTGTGAAAACACCCCAGGAGTGAGAGAGTGAGCGGGATAGACAAAGAGAGAAAGAGGGGGAGAGAGAGAGAGAGAGTGAGAGACCCTGTTTGATTCCCATAGCTCTCCTCCCACGCACCTGCGAGCTCTATTCACTCAGGTGTGCAAATGCTCTTTTCATTTCTTTTCATCTGCGTGTGGAAAAAAAAAAAAAGAAAAAAGAATAAAAACCCTAAAAAGGAGGGAACGAGTGGAGCCAGGAGGAGCAGGAAGCTGGGACAGAGATGGAGAGATAGACAGAGATAGAAAGAGACAAAGAGAATATAAGATCTCTGGAAGTCTGTGAAGTCCCTCATGCCTCATTGTTTTCTATATTTGTTCACCCGTTTCAGGCGCGCTCGGGTTTTTCGCTATCGGTCCTCACACTCAGCGTGTTTGTGAAGAGAGGTGAGGCACTGGGCATATTTCTCCCGCACCCTGTAGCATTATCAGCATACAAGTATTTCTCTCAGATTAGATACGAGGAGGTGAGATAACATGCGGTGGTGCAGCACCATATACACTATGTATGTATGCGTGTGTATTAGCGTAATGCTTGTGCACCCAAGGACCCAACGATAACGGAATTTAGCCTGATAAGTAGTGAGGGAAATGAATGCAATGTGATACCTGATTCAGTGACTTGACAGATGTTGAACAGCAGAACCTGAGACGCCATCAAACATGAGACGCCGACACCTGCAGGATGCATTAAACAGACTCCCGGATAAATTAAACCATCTCTTGGTTTAAATGTTCAAGTGTTGATAGATTGGGTTTTTGTATATATTTATGTCAGTGTTGTGAAATTATCCCACTGTGCTAATGCTTGTTTGAAATTCTGCATGGCCTAGATTTATCACATTTGAACATGCGTCTATCTATAGTACATTAAAGTGCATTGGTCTACCATGATATGCTTTCATTTACAGTCGAATATGCACTCAGTCAACAAAGCGTATTTGTTTTATAGTGTTGCGGCCCGTTGCACAATCCCATCTTTACACATGCTCTGCATAAGTTAATAGGGTTGCCAGATTTTTGATGTTGTCCATATTCAGAATTCACAAAACCGCAACTCTGCAACTCTGGAGAGCAAAACAAATGACTGTTTGTCTAAAATCTACAACTCATCCAGCATTATTTGAATTGTGGTGCAAAATTCCACAGCATACCAAGTTACACACTTGTCACCACGAGCTCTGTACCTTTAAGAGACTGACTGATTGCTTTCATCCTGTGTATCCCTCAAATTCAATCATTCCAAGTGACCAGGGCTCAAAGTCTTGATGATGATGATTGCAGAGGTAATGATTATGTGTCAGACACACACAGTCGAGCCCACAAAGGCAGTGCACGGTGGACAACCTCAAGTACCTCTAACTTGAATTTGGTTACCTTGCGGTGAAGTAAGCACACTCTTGAAACACTTTGCAGGACCCGAGACATCTGAGCAGAAGGCCTACTGTGGTCCACAGTCTTTATTTTGCCCACCTCTCTTCTGTACTCCCACCTAGCAAAGTGTCCAGAGATAGAAACACCTTTATCTCCACACACAGACCAGACTGATCGATTGACAGCTCTAGCCCAATCAATGACAGCAGCAACACAAGGTCACACACACACACACACACACACTCTCTATCTCTCTTATACACACACACACACACACACACACGTTTACACACACATTTGAAGAGGTGAGGAGACAGGGGAGTAGCTGATCGTGGAGAGCAGTCGGTGCTGATAGCTGATTGATAACGCCACCAGATAGCTTGTGTATAGTGAGCGGCGTGTCTTTGATCATGTGTCCTTAATGAAGAATTGTATTGAGTCTCTCACCAGAGCTTCTGTGTACTTAATGAGGCTGTGAGATAATTAATAACTGTTAATCCTACTGCTCATTTAGAGCCACATATCTGCTGTAGCTTGTGTGCGCTAACTGCGCCTGCTGGGAGGATACCATACACACTGAACGCACTGCGGACCGGCGTGTCCCTGAATTTAGTTACTGTAAATGTATGTTTGCGCATGTGTGTGTGAGGGCACCAATGTATGCAGGAGCCTCAGGGAAATCTTGTTTTAATTAACCTATAGCATAGCGTGATTTAATTTGCACACTGCAGACCAGGCACACATGGAAAAAGCGTATGTGCGGTTGGATGGTGGAACAGCAGGAGGAAACAAAGCCATGGAGGTTAATTTCAATGTTAAACCCATTACAGATTACCAGTAACTTGCTTAAAGTCCACCGGGTAATCAGTTTCCGCCACTGTTTGCCACCATGGTGCACAGTAAATCATGCAAAAAATTTGATTTTCACATTGCGATCATCAACAAGTATCATTGATCATTTCTAGAGAAAATAATCTTTGTGTCTGGAGAAAATCAAGTAATGTGGGGAAAAAACCCAAAGTTTCCTTTTGTTTTTGCTCCCACTAATGCAGCACAGATGCCACTGTTTTGTAATCAGATTACTTGAATCCCATTAAATGTAATTCTTAACTTCCGCGTCCTGGGGAGAGGAGAGAAAGGGTGGGAAAATTGATTAGTTATACTCATTGATTGATGTTTTCATTCATAACACGAGGTCAGAGTTTACGTAAACCCATTTCTCTGTCACACTCTCTCTCTCTCTCTCCCTCTGTTTTGTCCGTGTCTCTCCCTCAGTCTCTCCCCCTTTAGTTTCTCCTCATCTCTTTCACCATTCAAATCCGCCACACACACACACACACACACAACACACACACACACACACACACACACACACACACACACACACACACACACACACACACACACACACACACACACACACAGACATGCTCAGTACATCAACCCAAACCACAGATCAAGCCTTTCACTGCTTTTAATGAATGCTTTGAAAGCAGGCGCCAGGGCCTTGTGTAACACACACACTCTTCGCATGCATGCACAAGAACACACACACACATACTCACACATATATACACACACACTCACACACTCGTAATCAGAGTGCGGTCTTGATGACGTGTCTTCTTAATGAGAACTGCAGGAGGAAACTAAACTTATCTCCATGCAGCTGATTTGGTTTGCAGTTTAAAAGACAGTGTCCACATGAGGAGAACAGAAGAGCTGTTGTTAAAACTGGTCTAGGATCAGTTGCTTGTAAAGGGTCAGTTCACTCAAATTCCAAAGAACATCTTTTCTTAATCCTAGAGTTATCAAGCCATGTAGATGGTTTGAATTTAATTGCCCAGGTTTTGAAGCATTTCACTCTGAGATTTTTGTCCGTGTCACTCTGGATAATCCACAAACCTCAATGTGAACAGCTTTTATCCCAACTGCTTCTTCTACCCAAGAAATAGTCCCTATAAAATCTGATGAAAATGTGTAGTGTGGATTATCCAGGGTTTTTTTAATTTTATTTTTTGGTTTGTTTCTGTCATTTTGATGAACAGATCCTTAAACATGCAGCTTTTTGGAGGATTAATTCTCGGTCACAAGGGGCTCAAGGGGCAGTCTGTTGTTTTTTGCACTGTGTGCATATTTGCAGACCAGAATGAGGGAAGAAAAAGAAGGAAAGAAAAATCACAAAATATAATAAGTGGGAACATTTTGAATCAAAATGGCGTCTAAGTGATATAAGTGTTATTAAATGGCACTTTAACATACTTACTTGTAATTTTATTATATTAATTATGTTTAGTTTATGGTTCACAGTGGCAAACACCACCCATGTTGTGCTAAAACGGGCTTAAATACATAACGAGTAACAGACCAGGCTGGTAGTCAAACCAGGGTTTCTTTCTTTGGAGAGTGAGTGAAGGAAGTGAAAGTGGGAAATATGCAGAGAAGCTGAAGCACAACAAGGAGGAGAGAGAGTCAGAAAAAGTTTTTTTTTTAAAAAAGGAGGGAAATAGAGAAAGAATAATATGACTGAGACAGACTAAGGCAGGTCTGTCGTGTGTGTGTGGTGATGTGAGTGTCAGTTGACACACACACACACGCGCCATCTCATCTGCAGGGTGACACTGAAACAACGCGGTCACTTTCAAT